TAATCCTAAGGATACAGTAATTGTATGCCTCCCGCTTAAATTTCACCCACTCTCATTTTGTATGGACCTACGTAGACCTTAAGACAGCATTCATGATCCTGCTGTCATAGTCATCTGCTTCCACTTCTGTTAGTCTGGAGACTACCTATCTACCTGTTTACAACATCATAAGGAACTGTACATATAAGTCCTAAGTTCGATACACAAGGTACTCTTTTATTTTACAAATTTTTGAGACAACAGTTTTAATATCTCTGTAAATTATTACTATTTATCCCATATATTATAGTCAAAATTACCTTTCAGTTAACGTTATAAGTTATAATTTGATTTAAGCAGTATACTTTAACTTTGTTATGATATTTTATATGAAAATTACTACACGTATTTTTTCTTAGAGGTTTTTGTACACATGTTTCGAAACATCATCGTATTGATACATACATAAATTTCACCTGTTTTTATATTAAGTAGTACAGTTACAGTTACTACAAAGAAGAATACAGTTACTAAATTCAAATTTATTTAAAATAACTTACAGTTTTATTGGGATAATTGAAACTAACTGGTACTTGTGTTCGTTTTTAAATAAATGATTAATGTAGTATAGTTATCTCTGACTTTTATTCTTGATAAACATAATAGACCCTTATCGCTGTTGCTTACTTTATTCTAGCTATTTTGTGTTAATATATTTTTTATTTTGGTTTCTTACTTTACCTCTCCCATAAACAAATTAAGTGGCGCATTTTTTACTGTCTTTGACCATATCTATACAAATACTTAACATCAATATTAAAATCTCTGCAGCCTAAATATTATCATTTTTTATTTTAATATTTAACAACATTAGAAAGTCACCAAGGTGCCCGGTGGCGTAGAGGTACAGGGTTTCGTCTACCAATCACAAGGTAGTGGGTTCGATCCCCACACCCGGCATTGCATCAGCCGACTATTTTTATTAAAATAAAAATAGTTTAGGTACCTAGGTCGACTCACCCTTAAATGAGTACTTGGGATTCACAATCCTGAGGTAATAATAGGCGGTTGAAGCGTGGTGCTAGCCACATTACTTTCCTTGTATACCGAACGGCTCTAGTATGGCAAGCTGTACCTTGCTACTCCCAAGGCGTCAAACGGTATATACGGGAGCTATTATTATTATAGAAAGTCACCGCAAGCCAGAAGCCTTACCTACGAACCCAGCTCTCCTCTAACCCTGAGCAACGGATACTTTTTTCTTTCTGTTTGGGTAATGACAGAAAAATTCGTCACATGATTTGTATAACAAATTCAATTATACTGTAATTTAAAAGTTTAATTTATCAGATAAGATTAAACGAGTCATAAATTGGATTTGTTTATTATAATCAAATTTTACAGAACTAATCCTTTTAGAGATGAATCAAGTTACTCAGATTAACGTTATCAAATAGCACGTATGAGATTTTAATGATATTATCTAACGTTAGATCAGATATACTAACATACTGGAATCTGTACTTTCGGTTTAGCTTTAAGGCATCAAGGGCTTTCTCACTGCTATGGTCACCGTTGGTCAATATTGCGGTTATCGGGAGAGACTAGGTTGATTCAGAATATACAGGGTGTCCCAGTATTCCGTGGATATAGAACTACTACGTATTTTTGGAATCGAAATAAGTTCATTGGATACAATTTAAAAAAGTGCTTCGATTGTCCGCTATTAGGGCTTCAAATTAAAAAAAATAAACACATATCTTCAGATATTTGAAGAACCGTTATTCCGATTTGAATGAGATTTTCAGTGTCTATGTTTTGCTAAGTGTTTTAATATTTAATTTTCTCAAAAATCAAGAGAAAGTACGGGAAGGGTGAAAACTACCCCACATACATTTTAGCATAAGTATTTCCAACTCCACCGACAACAGATTTTCGTACAATGGTCTCTCTAGTATTTACTACATTTTTTGTCTCTTAAAAAAAACGCCACAACGTATAGTTTTTACAAAGCAGGACCTACACTACTACTACTACTACTACTACTACTGCCACTACTCGCTGACGAGTATTTGACACGCATCAGAAGATGGTCACGCAAGGCGAAAACGCATTTCATGAGCTTTTCGGTGACTGAAAAGCCCGATACGTGATATTAACTGTCTACCGCACTCCAGACATCAAAAATCAAAAAGCATCAAGCACTCAAAAATCTCATTGCTTTGTTGCCTCTTTACATTTTGGTTGTCGCTGTTAACTGACTTACAATGTTTCTCCATTCCGTTTTATTGTGAGCTACTTCTTCCCACTCATTCTGCTTGTTAATTCCCTTTAAGTTTTCGTGGAAAATGTCCTTGAACCTTTTGAGTTGTCCACCCGGCCTCCTCTTACTGTCTACAAGCTCACCGTAAAGCAAAGATTTTGGTATGCGGTTTTCTTTTATTCTGCATACGTGACCAGTCCATCTTAAGCGGGACTTTGTAGAATGTAGAATGTTTAGGATGGGAGTTAATCACCGCGACCTTATAGATCTATTGTGTGTTCCCCTTTCTTGAGTTATAACGAGTTATAACTCATCATACAGTCTCAGGGCTTTAAGAAAAGCCAGTATCTGAGACGGCTCCACAGAGGCCAGCTCTCCATTCTCGACAGCAGACGTACCAAGGTTCATGGCACGAATGGTCGTCGTCTCGGTGCACTCAGTGATAAGGTGTTCTGGTGTTTCCCCATTTTCCCCACAAAATCTGCATTCGCCGTTGTTTCTCAGTTTCAGCCTACTGAGGTGTTCGTTGAGGAGACAGTGTCCTGTTAGAAACCCCGTGACAATCCGAAGATTGTTTTTACTTAAATCAACGAAAACCTTTGATTTTTCTCGGTCATAAGTTCTAAGAAACTTTTTTTTTGAGTGCTTTAGACCGTTGGAGGACACCCATTCCAAGTTACGGATGGAGTCTTCCAGATTCTTCAGTTCCGCTTTCAGTTGGTTCCCGTTTGGAAAACAGAACGGTTCTGGTCCAGAACCATGTGGAGTGTTCGCTCCTTTTCTAGCTAGATCATTTGCTTTTTCATTGCCTTCTATCCCTTGGTGGGCAGGCACCCAGAGTAGGAGGACTTTATTTTCTTTGCCTAATTTGTTGAGCTTCTCCAGGCATTCTTTGACCAACTTCGAATTGATGGTTACTGAGTTGATCGCGTTAAGTGCTGCTTGACTATCGGATAGGATGGCAATTTCCTGTTTTCGATAGTTCCTATCTAAGATAAATTGTACGCATCTTTCGATAGCGCAAATTTCTGCCTGAAGGATATTGGGGTAGGTGCCCATTGGTTCGGAGTATTCAGTTTTCGGCCCAAATACTCCTATCCCTGTCCCTAAGAGGGACTTTGTAATCATGACTTAATATATATAATTATAATAATAAATATATAATATTAAAATAATAATAATACTCTCGCAGTTAGCTTTTTCAAGGACCGATACGTTTGAGACACGATGGAACCATTTGGACCTACAAAATATACAGGGAGTTCCAATATTTCGTGGACACAGAAGAACAACGTATTTTTTGAATCAAAATAAGTTAATTGCACATAACTTACCTTTACCGAAAAGTGTTTCTTTTGTCCGTTAAAGGACAGTCAAAAATACACCCGAACGTTAATTAATTTAAAATTTATTAATTTTTTGAGCTTTTTATGAAGCTTATTGTCAAATATTTATGATACTAACATAAAATTCCATATTTCGCCAAATAGATTACTAGAGCATAATAGATTTTATGCGCCTCCATAGCTTGATGGACAAAAATATATTTTTTGGAAGTCAGCTTTGGGAAAATATTTTTTTTCCTCAAAATATATGCGCAATGGCGTTTTTTTACAAGAGACAAAAAATGTAGTAAATACTAGAAGGGTTACTTTACGAAAAAAAAACGGTCGTTGGTTGAGTTGGAACATATTTATATGCATGAAAACTAGTTGAAGCCTGGCGCATCCACCACGACATAAGGAAAAAAAAATACTTTTTTTTTAATTAAATGAAAAACAAAAAATCCGGCGATGACAGTTTTTAGAAGAGCCAATTAGCTATCTATTTTCTTCAGTAGAGACGACACAGATAAACATTAGCATTTTATATATGTAAATTTTAAAAGGTGGGGGTAGTTTTGGAGGCAAATCAGAAGAGACAAATAAATAATAAATGACAGTATTCACACTTTATTAATTATTAAAATAATTAATAAATCTTAAAATGTTTTAAAAATTCATTTATCCTTCATCAAATTCCAAGTTATTATAAACTCTCCCTCTCTAAAATCGTCTTTCTACATCATTATCTCATTGTCCTTCGTTGTTCCAGTAATTAATTCGTACCCAGATAACTTAATTGCCGAGATTATTTACCGAAAACCTTTTCTTTGGTGATGCTGATAATATTGACCAGGGGTGACTGACATTAGGGCTCTATGGTTTTAACCTTCTTCGCCCAAAGTTCAATATCTTCACTAACCCTAGTTCACAGGGACGTAGCAAGTCGAACCCGGGCCCTGGTGCAAGACCACCAGCGGGCCCTTTTCTTCATTATAAAAAAAACAATGAAAAATGAAATAACACATTTATTGCACAAAAATGTATGGGGAGTAGTAATAAATGTAGTAACAAAAATATAAAACTAAAAAACTATTACTTATTAACTAATTTATAGTTATTTATGCTGAAAAAAAAATCTACCTTTCTTGCCTTTTGATTGGCAAACAATGAAATTATTCTATTAAGATCCAAGTTTCTGGCTGTCTCGTTTTCTATTGATAAAATTGCCAAGCCGGAGAGTCTGTTCTGCGACATTTTATTTCTTAAATAATTCTTAATTAATTTTAATACCGAAAATGATCTTTCGGAAGTCGCTACCGATACAGGAATTGTTAGAAAAAGGATAAAAGCACAGCAGATTTCTGTGAATGAACTGGAGATCATTTGATCGCAAATAACTAACTTCGCCAAGTCATTAACTGAAATGTCTGCATTTATTTGATAAAAACTCGCCTGAAACTTACAATTTCTTGCGAAAATGAATATGATAGATCATAGGAATAAAAGCTGATCAGGTTTTCAGATAGGAGGACCAAATCAGCATCAGAATGATCTCTCAAGACCGAAGGAAAAATTACTTTAAATCTTTCAACTACGCTATTTAACCCTTTGAATCGATTTTCAAGTTGAGATATAATAACGTCCAACGTTATATTAAACACCGACACACGGAAGTTTTCTTTGGCGTTGAATAATCGTTCATCACATGATAACTCATCGAATTGTTTTTTCACTTTGCGGATCCTGTGTTCTTTAAAACTTGGATTGATTTCCCAACCACGAGCTAAATCAGCTGCTTCATTAATAACTTCCTCAAAACTGTTCCTCATTTCTGCAATGTCTTTCTTAGCAGTTTCCAAAAGTTTTGACGCTCTTTGAATATCTTGGTTTTTACTCTGCAGTGCATTGGACACAAGCTTTGTGATACTTAATATTTTATGTTCTATCACTATTAATACAACTGTTTCAAAATTTTCCAGTTTTTTCTTTAATCCCAGTGCTTCATTTTGTTCCGTTGTTTTCGAGCTTGTTAGGGTTAGTTTTGTCAAAACTTGTAAAATTTCTCGATAGTGAAACCTTAAGCTATGAAAAGAATCATAACGAGACGACCATCGCGTTGGGCACAATCGTTTTAATGTGTGCTTCTTGGATTCGAACATTTCCGTCAATACTGCCCATCGTTTTATGCTATGTGCAAAAAATGCATAAAGACTTTCTACAAAATCGTAAAAATTTTGTAACTCCCTTGAAATTTTTACAGAGTCATTGATAACTAGGTTTAGATTATGTGCAGCACAGTATACATATAACGCGTTGGGTTGTTTTTCCAAAATTTTGGCCTGCAGGCCATTGTAGACGCCAGTCATGTTAGCCGCACCATCGTAGCCTTGAGTTCGTAGTCTTTCAAAGCTCAAATTATTCTTTTCAAAGAATAATAATAATTGTTTCACCATGTCTTCAGCAGATTGCCCCATACATTTTTCAAACCCTAGAAAAACTTCCCTTATAACAACATCACGAATAACATTGTCGTTATCCTTGATGAAGTCGGCATATCTCACTACAAAACTCACTTGATCAATTTTTGAAATATCTTGAGTTGTGTCCATTATTACTGAAAAAAATGGAGATTCATTTATTTGACTGATCAATTCAGTTTTTACCTCATTGGCTAAGAGGTTGATAATTTCGTTCTGAATGGTTGGCGACAAATATTTTACACATTTTTTATCTTTTGATAAAAGCTCTTTCAAAACTGGATCATAAATTGACAATAGCTCAATAATATTTAGAAAGTTGCCACGATTGTGATCGCCATGATATAACGATTCATTGTCTCCTCTGAATGATACATTATTTTTAGCCAAAGTCAATGTGACGTTAATAACTCGTTCCAAAACTTTAATCCAATAATTATTTTTAAATTTCAGCGTTTTATCCAAGTCCGTGTCCAATACTTGATCGCTATTCCATTTGTTATATATCAGGCAAGCAGAAATGTGATTGTTAGAAGATTCGTGCTTAGTCATACTCCGAGAAATATGACCCCAGCCATTAAATCCATTTAGCCAATTTAATGATCCTTGAGTCTGTCTCCAAAAACCCAGCAAGGTTCGCAGTAAGCTACATCCAATGTTGGTGAGTAACACAGCCAATTTTTTCTGTATACAATTCCTGACTTGGATCGTTGGTTGTAGTACGCCAAACTGAACGATCGACCATTAGCATTTTTAGGAAATTGCATATTTTCTAGTTGACATGGTCCGTATTTTGCTATAAATCTTTTATTCGAATCGCTGAGAATACTGCTGAAATTACTCTTTTCGGTACTGAGATGTGAAACCGTTGTTTGTGAAACAGATACAGATAGGGAAGTCGAAGAAATTGTGGTTGACTCATGGTTTTCTTCTTTTGCAATACTCATTGTAATTGACTTCGGTGATAGAGGTATTCCGGGGTCATCCTGATCGTATTTATTTTCAGGTTCAGACAATTCAGATAATTCAACTGTATTTTTCTAAACACGATGGAAAAAGGAAGTTAATTTAGGAAGTTTTTCCCTTTCACGTTTTTCAGTTTCTTTCCGTTTTCGCTTTTCAGCTCCCGACAAATGTTTGTACTGACTCATATCGCAGCTGAATGCAAAACTAGACAACTTAAAATTTAGTTATTTTATAGGGTGTCCCATAAGTCACCGATCAAATTTAAACAGGAGATAGGGGAGGTAATTTCCAACAAAAAAAAACTATAAACATGTATCCTAAAATACCTGCTTTTCAAGATACAGGGTGTTGAAAGTGAAAAATGACAATTTTTTTCGTAACCTCTTACTAGTTGCTGTCAAAAATGGTCTCTTGACATTTTTTTGTCCGACGAACGGTTTTTGTGTAAAGAAACAACAATAACCCTGTATCTTGAAAACCAGGCATTTTAGGATACATGTTTATAGCACTTTTTTTGTTGGAAATAACCTCCCCTATCTCCTATTTAAATTTGATCCATGACTTATGGGACACCCTATTCATGACACCAATATTTTTTTTTGTCATTAGATAACTTTTTAACTTAAAAAGTTATCTAATGGCAATTTTCACATAGATTTTTATTTTTTTGTAACAGATTAACTAAAAAACACACTACTTTTTAATTTAACTGATTGCCTCCATTTTTCAGACAAGAAATGGGTAAAAAGAACTTAGTTTTATCCCAAGTACTACTTTTTTTTAATGTTTTCTCTTCTTTTCGTAAAAATGTGTTTTTTTATTTTTTAGCCGTAACAAACAAATTGTCAGTTGTAAAGAATTTTAAAGTATTTTGAAAATAGCCACTAATAGTATTATCATTATTAAACGTCCATCTAAGCATTCCGCCGTTTCTATAAAATGACTAAAAATTAATTACCAAGTTACTACAGTCAGGCTTCAGGCTAACCCCTAATGTAATTACACTTACACTAATAAATAATATTAAAAACTCACTTCAAAAAGTCAAAAAATATCAATGTTACGATTTACCGCGAATCACACCGATATTTGACAGCGCCAGCGTGCGAAATTAAGATTGCACTGATGACGCGGCTTTTTTGTTCTGAAAGAAGAAACTCGGGATGTATTATTCAATCGATTTAATAATAGCCATTATTAAAAGATCGGTCTTATAGTAATGTGGTGAAATACCTGAACAGGTAATTGTAATGTAATTTTATTTCATTTCTGCAGATATTCTCAAATAATGCTAAAAGTCAAATTTAGAATCGGGTTGCAAGAGCCAATGCCGCTAGGGCGGCGCCGGGCCCCCCAGGGCCCCGGGCCCTGGTGCGCCGCACCACTTGCACCCCCTGTTGCTACGTCCCTGCTAGTTCATCAATGTATAATATTATTTGAAGTATATTCAGATTACTTAACTCATTTAGGAGAATTAATTAAATTTGTGTAAAATGTGGCAGTCCTTGAATTAGTGCACATGTCCAAGTTAACGCCAAATTTTAATGTCACTTCTTATGAAAAAACTAATTTAAATTTTGTCATTAATATTTTTTACGATTTTTCAGGATTTCCTGCAGCAAAATCTTCTTTTCTTACACTTTGTAACAAAATAGCCGCATCTGTACAATTTTTAAAAAATTTTCGTCGCTAGACGAACTGCTTCTATCAAACATTGTTCTCGAGATAATAGTGATAACTTTTCTGACTATAATAAAAAAATTATAGAACTAAAAAAGCGTGTTATGGCATGGCGTGTTCCAAATGTGAACACCCTTTCCCACGTCGCAGCACATGTGGTAGTGATGGGTTGTTATTTAACTATCTGTTATTTTATAACAATTATTTATAAATAACATAACACAACCGTTACTACTTCTAAAAAATAACAGATATAAAATAACGACACGTAGAGATCGGCCGCTCGTAACTCGAAAAACGAAGTCGGCGCTCTGCACCGTCACGAAATTCTATGCGGCTCGAAGCAATTCCAAAAAACAACTAGTATGGATGGAAAACATGTTAATTCGTCAACCATACAGGCGGCAGAAGTGTCTAGCCCTAGCAGTCAACTTTTAAGCTTGACCAATCAGGTTGGTTAGCGTGGTTATTTGAAGGGTGTTAATTCATTTGTGTTTGTCAAAAACTCTAACGTGATTGGTCGGGCTTAATAGTTGCTTGCTATGGCTAGATACAAGTACAGGCGGCGAGACAACGGACAACGGAGTGGGGAATGCGCTACGGCAAACGTAGCTGCTTCGGTCGATACCGCTTAAAAATAATAGGATATAAAAGAAGCAGGTTTTTTGAAACAGTTGCGGGCATAACGCCTGGCGGTCGAGATAACAGGAGTGGGAAAGGAAAGCTGCTGCATCGGTCGATTGTCGATGGAGGCTCGCAACGGGTTGGAGAAGCAGTCATTTTAGATACGTTGTTTTTCAACCTGTTACGAGCATAACAGGGCGGTGGTCGAGATAATCGGAGTGGGAAAGGAACGCTGCTGCATCGGTCGATTGTCGATGGAGGTTCGAAACAGTTTGGAGAATAACGCATCAGTTATTTTAGATAGTACATTGTTTTTCAACCTGTTACGAGCATAACGGGCGGAGGTCGAGATATTATGGCGCTGTATGTTTCAGTATTTACTTATTAAGTTTCAATATTTAGGTATTTATTTATTCGGAAAAATTTTCAGAATAATATTTTAAGATTTTTTTAAAAATGTATACAGGGTGTTTTGAAAAATCTGGTCATTGATTAATCACGATCCTGCTTAAAGTCCTTGACGTAAAAAGCTGATTTTTGGAAAACGGATTGACTTTAGGGTGTAGAGGTTCGATAAGAAGGGATTTTTCGAAACTCGAATTCTAAGGGGTGAAACTACCCTCAAATATTAGAATATTTTTATTTAAAAATTTGAGTTTTTTAAAACCGGTGAAAAACACGTATATTTTATTATGTTGTTTACATATATTCAGATGTTTAAAAATATATACAGAGTGTTTCATAAAATATGACCATTGAGTAATCACTATTCTGCTTAAACTGCTTGACGTTTAAAGCTGATTTTTGGCAAACGGATTGACTGTGGGGTTGAGGTTCGATAAGGAGGGGTTTCTCGAATCTCAAATTCCAACAGGGTGAAAACGCCCCTCAAATATTACAATATTTGTTATTTAAAAACGGTTAGTCTTTCGGGAAAACGCCTGGACACGCATAATTTATTTTGTTTTTTACATATTTTGACATTTTTTCAAAAATCATACAGGGTGTTCCAAAAAGTTGAGTAATTGATTAACAAAATAAAAACATTAAAACACCACAGCTAAGTGTAAAAGTAAAAGTGTTTTGGTGTATTGTGGTTATTTTGTTTTTTTATTTTGACATTTTTAAAAAATCATACAGGGTATTCCAAAAAAGTTGAGTAATTGATTAACCACGATTCTGCTTAAACTGCTCGACGTTTAAAGCTTATTTTTGGCACATGTGAGAAAATTTTATCTAGTCTGTATGTTAATGGAAATTCTTGTTTTGCTTTATCATCACCATTAGAAATTACTAATTCGACACGAACGACGTCGCAGGTACATGCTAGTTTAAGTGTAAAATAAATTCGAACTCTAGTTTGTAGTTGGTTTACTTATGAAGAATATACTACACATTTTCTTATATTGTTATTTTTTGACCGCAAATGGTAAAATCATAACTAAGAGCTTCTCGCCCGTCGAATAAGATGCACCCTGTACACTGCTACTCAATTCAGGATCTACGCGCATCGAGGGGTAGGGCGTAGGTAGATCGGAATGTATAGGTATAGACGAGTGGCGGAATTTTGGCTTTTTTTATATCGCAATTTGTAAACAGCGCTTATTTGTAAACAACCACCGTTTTTAGAGAGGTATTTTAGATAACAATCGATATTTAGAAATGTTTTGACACCCTGGAAATATTACCACCGAGCACGTCATTGTTGCAACTTGCAACTGCGTTAATACGCCTGGCGGTGACCGCCTCATACTTTCAGATATTTAGCAGTAAAATAAAGAAACCTCTTATTTTTGAGCTGTTATTTTAAGCTGTTTTTTTTTATAAATAACTATAACAGTTTCAACTGTTATCTAAAAATAACAGTTTTGCCCATCACTATCGCGTGGTGTAACGTGTTGCTAATAGGGTCCGGGCATTATTCTACCGCGTTGCCTGATAACTTCGTTCACTGCTCATCGGAACATTTGCCTTCCGCATTCTTTTTGCAATACCTGCTTTATTTTATCCTTTAACGAGAAAATAAACTTAAAATTTATTTTATTTCTGATAAAAGCTAGAGCTTTCATTGGAATAATACATCAGCGTATATCTGGTAAAGTTATAAATCCACTAGCTCTACTACACTAAACGGCAGCACTTTTGTACGGTTTATGCTGATGGCGGCATGATCATATAACCTTTTCAAGTCATATTTCAACTTTTATCACTCACTAACCATTTTTCTTCGACATAAAATTAGGAATCTGGATAAACCGCATCCTTTATTTAAATATACAAGG